TGGGCTGGGGATTTAGCTCAGCAGCACAGCGCCTGCCTGGCAAGTACAAGGTCGTGAGTTCGATTCACGGTACCAGAGAAAAACAAAAAAACCAAACAAACGAAAAAAGACTAACAAGGTGGCCACTCACTGCCTGAATTGCCCAGCCCCAGCTACCCCTAGGTCACTAACCATCCTGCTCTGCTGGAGACTGAGGCGTTTCTTAGTCTGCCCTCCGTGAGGACACCGGGACTGAGGGTTTGCTCACAGCTGTGCCTCTAACCTGACGCTTGGCCAGGCCTCCAGGCCCTGGGTCCTGGGGCTCAGGGGTCCTTCCCCATGGGTGGTGTGTGGCTTTCTTCAGAGTCAAGGCTTACTTTAGGGTGGATATGAGGAAGGAAGGGGGGTCTCAGAGCGAGGGAAAACCGGGAGGCTGGGGACCTGCAGGGGCATTTGGCCGGGTGGTGGCAGGGGAAATGCATCCACTCTGCCCAGGCCTGGAGAGCTGGGACCAGAGGTGGCGGGGACAGCACCTACCCGAATGTCTCCGGGGTCCAGGCTGCGCTCACTCCAGGCTGAGGCGATGCTGCTGTCCAGGTGGGAGCCCGAGCGCTGCAGATCCAGCTCATCCTCATACACCTCGTCCAAGATCTCCTCGTGGGGTGTGCCCCCCGGCTTTCGGAACTGGCCAGGGCAGTGTGCGGGCGACAAGGTTCACCATGGCTCCCTGTCCACTCCCACTCTCCCCTTCCCTGCGCGGCCCAGCTTTACTTTGCCGAGCTTCCCCCCTTGTCTGATTTGGAAATGCGGGTCTTAGGGTTTTACCACCCATCCTGCTTGCCCTCAGGGTGACCCACCCTCCTGTCCCCATCTTTAGCCCTGCCCTTCGGCTCCAACGCCCGTCCCTGTCACTGCTTCCAAGCACATCTGCACAATGCACCAGCCTTACAGCGGTGCTGAAGGGACCCCCTGCAGCCCTAGCACTCACTTCCCTGGCCCGCGGACTGGATGGACGCAGGGTACATAGCTCCTTAACAAGGGCTCCTTCGCCCGCTTACAGCCTTCTGTCATCCTCGCCCTGACCTGCAGAGGGCGCTATTACCCCACAGCGCTGTTAGCAGGGCCCTGGAAGCCCTCACCTTGGGGATGAAGATCAGAGCCAGCGTAGCAGTGACGGTGCTGTGGGTGTGGAAGAAGAAGAGGAGGAGGGTCCAGTCCGGGTGCAGGGAGGGGACCAGCATGAACCTGGAGCCGAGTGGGAGAAGCTGATCATCCTTGCGGGAGGAGGGGGCCCCGCCAGCCCTGAGCCCCGCCAGGGAGGGCGTGTTCCTTCCTGCCCTCCTCAGGATGGAGCTGCTGTCCCAAGGTTCACGTCATCCCCACCTCCAAGAAGCCTGCCAGGCTCCACAGGCCCTCGACTCTATGAGGACCTCCTGGGGGCTCATCTGCACACCAGAGGACCAGGTCCCCACGGACACACTGCGGGCCTGGGGCTCAAGTGGCTGAGGGATGAGAAAGAAGGTAGGGAGAAGAGAGGCTGTGCAAGGCATATGTTGGGGGTCCTGCAAGATGGCGTACAGGACCCCCAACACTCGAGGACAGCACACGTCGTAACAGCTAAATCTCGGAAGCAACTGGTGCATCCACCAACAGATGCATGGATAAAGAAAATGTATTTACACACAGTGCAGCGGTACTGTGCTGTAAAGGAGACACTTGAGTCTTTTGTAGGGAAACGGGCGCACCTGGAGACCATAATAATAAGTGAAATAAATCAGACACACAGCTTCAATATCACCTGATTTCTCTTATTATGAGTGACTCAAAAAATAAATAAAGAGCAAAATAAAAGATAGATCATGAGAAATAGGGAACTAGAGTTTTTGCAAGCTGGACAGAGATCAAGAGATGGAGGGAGGGGGAAGGAGGGGAAAAGAGGAAGTAAAAAGAATTAAAATGTATTATGTGCATGCAGCATTGCCCACAAGAAATGTGAACATTATGTATTTCAGGCGTTAATAAATTTTTTTTTGTTTTCTTTTTTTGAGACAGGGTCTTGTATTTCTTTTTTTGTTTGTTTGTTTTTGTTTTTCTTCTGGTACTGGGAATCGAACTCATGACCTTGTGCTTGCTAGGCAGGCTCTGTGCCACTGAGCTAAATCCCCAGCAAACTTTTCTTTTTTTTTTTTGGTTTTTCTCCGGTACAGCAAACTTTTCTTTTTTTTTTTTGGTTTTTCTCCGGTACTGGCAACCAAACTCACGACCTTGCGCTTGCCAGGCAGGCACTTTTGCCGCTGAGCTAAATCCCCAGCCCCTTTGAGACAGGGTCTTGCTGTATGGTTCAGGCTGGCTTTGAACTCACTATGTAGCCCAGGCTAGCCTCAAATTCCCAGTGACCCTCCTGCCTCAGCTTCCCGTGTGCTGGGATTACAGGTGCGCACCACCATGCCAGGCTAAAAATAAAACTTTTTTTTTTGTACCAGGAATCAAACTTGAATTCATGACCTCAGGCTTGCCAGGCAGGAGCTTATGCCACTGAGCTACGTCCCTGGCCCCCAAAATAAAAAATTTTAAAAGGGAATAGGAGGGGCGTTGGGAGTGGGGCTTGCTTCCTGGTCTTGTCACCTGTTGGGGATGTGGGGTGGGGGAGCGGAGGGGCCTGTCCTCCGCCTGCTGCACCCGGGAGGGGGCAGTGAGAAGGTACCAGGCCTGGCTCACCGGGCCGTGTGGAAGGCGGTGGACAGCAGCAGCTCGTTGTGCAGGGCGATGCCCATGTAGCGCGGCTCGTGGAAGGCCGAGGGCACAGCGCGGGTGGTGTAGCACAGGAAGCTGCCCCAGCACAGCAGCAGCATCTCCGCTGGGGATAGAGGGCGGGGGGACAACTGAGCGTCTTGCTACCCTCTGAGGGGGGGAGCCTCTGGGTACAAGCCAGGACAACCAGGCCAGAGGGAGCCCAGGGGGCTGAGCGGCTCACCCACGACCATGACGTAGTCCCAGCGGTCATGGTGACAGAGGTAGAAGTGGCGGCCGGCGGGAGTGTGGCCTCGGGCCACCAGGGGCGTGAGCGGGCCTCGCTCCAGGCTGCCTGCTGTCCACACAGCCAGAAAGCCCAGCACGACGAGCAAGAGCAGTGCCAGGCGCCGCAGCAGCTGCCCGCTGCCCAGGGGCGCGCCGCGCTGGGCGGTGCGGGACAGAAACAGCTGGAGCACTCTGCAGGGGCAGGGGGCACGGAGAAAGCGGAGGGGCGGGGAGGGCCAGAGCCCAGGTTTACCTGTTCTCAGGTCCCTACCGCGGCTCCCTGCCCCCCGGAAGGAAGGGGCCCAACAGGGAAGGCTCGGCGATGCGCGGGGCTGTGGGCGCGGGTGCGGGCCGTGGAAGACTCCCTCCCATAGAAGAGCTGGGGGTGCGAGGGCAAGGTCTGCCCCGGGCCCTACCGGTAAAGCTTGAGTATGATGGTGCCATAGACGGTGGCAAAACCCAGCAGCCGGACCCAGCGCAGAGCGATGCAGCGGAAGACACTGGGCCTGAAGTACAGGATGAAGACCTGCGGGAGGGGCAGGAAGAGCTGCTCTGCTAGGCCCAACCTGTACCAGCGGGGGAGCCCTCTCTCCCAGCAGCCCCGCGACAGATGCGTCTTCGTGCCCTGTCTGCACAGGAGCAGGCACAGCGGGACAGAAGTGAGGTTCGGGTCCCACATCACTTGGCAGGTCTCAGAGCTCTTGGAAGCCTGGAGCGGCTTGGCTCCAGAGCGTGCTGCACTATCTGCCATTGCTGGGTGCAAGGAGTGGCCACTCCACTTGCGGGTAAGGAGAAAGGGTTCTGGGCTTTGCAGGGTACCAGGGTGCGGCTCTGGGGGGCTCCGGGAAGTGGGTCCAGCCGCTGGCCACAGACTCACGGGGAAGTAGAGAAGCAGGGATCCAAAAAGGATGGCTTCCAGCAGGATGACTCCAGATGCCCGGATCCTCTGTGGCCCAAGGAGAAGATGCGGTGAGCAGGCATGAGGGGTTAGTGCCTAGACCAGGGTGCTGGAGGGTCTCAGGCGCTGGAGGCTCGCTCTGGCCCTTGAATCGGCTGGAACACCAGCTCTACCCTTCTGTCCACCCTGGCTCTTAGCTAGGCTGGCACTGAGCCTGCCCAAGGCTGGGGCTTCGCACAGCACCTCAACGGCCCAAGCCTTCCCAGCCCCACCCTGGGCTCCAATCAGAGGCCGCCAGAGCAAGCAAGGACCTGCTGGAATCCTCCAGGCCCTGGATTGGAGGGCCCTGTTCAGAATGGGACACCCTGCCCTTGCCCAGTAAACATCCAGTTAGCCAGGCTCAGTGGTGCACACTGTAATCCCTGCACACTGGGAGGCTGAGGCAGGAGGGTTGCAAGTTTGAGATCAACGTGCAGCACAAAGCCCAGCTAATTCGATACTTGTGCAACTCGGACACCTGTCTGACACTGCATGATGAATGAAGTTTAGAGTCAAGATTGGCACCCAGCCCTGCCCTCCAAGTTAGTTGTGGCCTCAGGTAGCTCAGGTCTCCACTGAGGTGGGCAGTGTGTGCAGGAGTGAGGTGGGACCTGGCTTGCCTTGCTCCAGCGGCAGCGGTAGGACACCAGCATGCTCAAGAAGACAGCCAGCATGCAGCAGGCCTGGCAGGTCAGCACCACTGCCCGCAGCGCCGGGGCCTCCTGCACCAGGCACGGAGTGGCATCCATGCAGCCGGTGCAGCCCTCGGGACACGTCTGGCACCGCAACAGCCTCCCCGCGCTGCCTTGGGACCCGAATGGCCCAGTGGGCTGTGCAGCACCCTCCTCTAGTCCTACAAAGAACAAGGTGGTCCAGGGAGGGGGTGCAGCGGGGCTCCTGAATCCCGGCCTTCTGCTCTGACAGCTACCCTGGCCAAGGAGGCGAGGGAGTGGGTACCCCCCTTGGAGGGCAAGGAACAGGAAGACATGCTAGGTTGGGGCCCATTGGGAGGCCAATTGGCAGCACACCACATGGTGAGCTCATTCTCAGAAGCAGACACCCCCAAACAGCGCTACTGACGCCCCCTGCTTCTCTCTAGCTTCTGTCCATGCCCCACCTGGAGTTTCCTTCCCGATCGCCCCTGAACTGCCTTCCGCCTTGATCCTCCCTCACCCAAGCCCGCCTGGCCCCCCGCACTCACGTACCCCCAGAGCCACTTGCCGCGAAGAACCCAGGTCGGCAACGACAGAGGTATTGGCCAAGGACGAAGCCCCGACCCTCCAGGGGGACACACTGTGTGGGACAGGGTGATGCACGTTTATACGGCGCCTTCTTGGGAAGAGTTCGGGGCCCATCTGCTCCCTATCCGTGGCTTCTGAGACTACACTGGGGGCCCCACCAGAAGCCTTCCCTGATCCTTGGGGAGTTTCCCTCTGGAAACCTCACCCCCCAAAACACACTGTTGTCCCTTCCCAAGGAGGATCCAAGCAGAGAGCCTGGGACAGACCAGCCTCTCGTTCAGACGGGCCGTGACAGTGGCACACGAGTCTCATTTCCCTGTGCCCAGCTGCCGATAGGCCCAGGCAGAAGCCGGGATCTCTGCCCCAGGCGTACTTCGGGAGCCTGTGTCCTGCTTCAAAGGCTGCCCGCCGGGGGGTTGGAAAGACCCCCACGGAGGAGCAGCTTCCTCTGTCACAGGCCACCTGGCTTCGGTGCGGGACTGCTTTCTGCAGCCCTAAGGCCAGGCTAATGCTCAGCGGGTGGGAGGTCGAGGCTGACCCTTATTCCACTTTCACCCATTGACGTTTGCCCAGCAGGGGTGGAGCAGGCCTCCAAGGCAGGCAGGGAGGATGAGCACACGGCCTGGGGAGTGGCTGGGATCAGACACTAGTGGGCAAGGGATGGGCTTAACCACAGGCAGCCCCTGACCTCCTTCCGCCAAAGGCTTAGCGTGGTGCTTATGAAACCGAGGCCAAGCTTCCTATACCCTGGGCCACTTTGATGCGCCCTAATCTGGCTGCATCTGTGCAATCAAACAAAAGTGCACCCGGGGAACACGGATGTGTGGCCGGGTTAAAAAATGAACTACCAGGCATGGTGGTGCGCGCCTGTCATCCCAGCCCTCAGGAGGCTGAGGCAGGAGGATCGCCACCCGTTTGAGGCCAGCCTGGGCTGCATAGTGAGTCCAAGGCCAGCCTGGACTACATAGCGAGATCCTGTCTCAAAAAACCAAAAGAAAAAAAAAGTGGCCCTGGGAAGGAAGCCTGAAGCACTGAGCTCCTCAAGTAGGGCAGAGGCAGAGCAGCTGTGCTGTTAAAAGCCCTGGACTTTCACCTCTGCCAGTCACTAGGGATTCCCCAGAAGCCCTCGATGCCAGGTGGCTTTGTCGGCTGCTCCCGGGGCTGGGTGGTGGCAGTGTCATCTCCTCACCTGCGTGCTGTTGAGGTCACACAGGTGTGTGTTAGAGAACCAGCCGGGGCCACTGGCACACTGATTGATGTCCACAGTCTGGAGATCTATGTCCATCTGCACCTGTCCCCTAGGGCAGGGAATGGGCAGCCAGGCCCACAGCAAGGGATGCTGAAGTGTCCTTGGGCGCCAGAGTTTCCCAGCGCTGTCAACCCTGTCACTGTAGCAGCAGCCCCCTCCCACTACGCCTTCAGCCCCATCCCTCCTTCTCCACCTCCTGTTATTTCCTGGCTTCTGTAACGGGCGGAGGGAGGGGACGTGTCAAGACATGAGGAGCCGGGGCTCTGCTGACCCATCGGGGGGATTTTCACACTTCCCACTGTGTGTGCGCACACACGCACACACACTCGACGCACACTCACCGCCCCTCACCCTGCCCAAGCGGGGTCTGAACTGGTCACAGCCCAGGACGGAAGGAATTGGGACCCCAGTCTGGAGCTGCCTGGCCCACAGCGTCCCTAGCCCAGCTCCAGGCTGCACAGGGAGAGAGCTGGTGAGGAGCCAGGCTGCCTGGCTGCCGGGGGAAACCCTGCTGGGGGCAGAGCTGAAGAGGCTGATTGTTGAACGCCTTTGTGTGCCTTTGCCACCCCCGACCCACAGGGCCCGCAGCCTCTTGGCGGGAGCAGAGCGGGACCAGTTACTGGAGGAGCATCACAAGCCCCTGGGTGAGGAGGGCAGCACAGCAGGGCTTGCCTGATGCAGGAATAGAGGCACCGCACTTGGTCCTAGGAAGCAGAATGTGCAGGCCCACACCTGTAAGCCCAGCACTTGAGAGGCTGAGGCAGGAGGGTCACTGAGTTAGACGCCAGCCTGGGCTCCATAGCAAGACCTTGTCTCAAAAAAACAGTACCAAAAGGAATGATACTAGGACTGACCCAGCCCACTCCTGGACAGGAAGGGCATTAATTCCAAGCCCCCAGCACCAGGTTTACCTCGGCGGGGGTGCCTGCCCGGCTACCCTAAGAACTCTGATACGCAGATTGGGACTGTCATCCAAGCCAAGCCCTCTCCTGCCTTGCACGCTCACGCCTTCGAGCTGAGGGCCCAGACCTGTGCCCACCTGTGCCTTCACATCCCCGCACACCTAAGCGTGTGTGCCTGTGCAGAGACGCATGCCAACACGTGTGCACCCACCTCATACGCGTGTGCTCAGGACACTCATTTATACCCGGGTCCGGGCGTGTCAGTGGATTCACCCCTACACGCGTGTACACTCACACCTGTGTGCATTAGCAGGTTCCCAGCACAGGCTGCAGACACAGCTGTGTGCAGATACGCACAAACGTGCCCCCGAACACACACATGCTCTGGCGAACAGCCCGGGCAGAACAGAGCTGACGCCTGCCCCCGACCCGGCCCCACCCCCCAAAGCTGTGAGAGCCTGACTTACCGGACCTCTGGGCTGAGGTCGGGCTTGAGTCCATAGAAGGCGGCAGAGAGTGTGACCAGCCAGCCGGGACGGAGCCGGCCCTCCTGGCAATCTAGGAAGGGCGGGGACAGCCTCACCTGCCATGCGTCCCCCACATATCCGTCCCCCTGGGGCCACTTGGGGCTGTCAAGGCTCCGCAGGTCATTGGTCAGCACCCGCTTCTGCAGGCCAGGGCCATCCGGGTCCTCTGTCGGGCTCTCCTCACGCACCGTGTTGCCCGACAAGTCCTGCAGGAGGGTCTCCGCCCCCCTCCGGGTGGCCTGCAGGGCCAGCGGCAGGTGGCTGGCCCCCGGCGGAGGGTTAAAGGTCAGCAAAGCCCGGTAGGCCCTGGGGTCTCCCTCAGCCACACTGCGGACCAGGGCCTGGTACCATTCCACGTCCTCCTCCATGCTGGACTCGCGGATGTCGTTGGCCTGCAGCAGCATGTTGAGGAAGTTGGCAGCCTGGGCCACCGTGCCCGCTGCCCTCTGCAGCCCCGCGGGGAGCCCTGGCCTGGCTTCTGCCCCTGGAGCCTTGGAGCGCTCACTGCAGTTAGCGCCCGCCAGCTGGTGGGCGTCTCCGGAGTAGAGAAAAGCCAGGGCTGCCTCGGTGCCCTGGGGGGGCATCCACACAGGCGCCAGTACTGGCTCTGCTTGGGTGGGCAGCAGGGGCAGGGAGCGGAGGGGCCTCGGGGCCCCCAGAGCCCAGCCACAGAGGAAACAGCAGCCCAGCAGCCCCCACATGGGGGAGGGCTGGAGCGTGGCCCCGGCAGCCATCCTGGGCACAGCTCCTAGGACCCTGGGCTCCGGGCTGCCCAGGGGCTTGCGGGCTCAGGGGAGCCCAGGCAGACGGCTGCTCGGGCCTCCTCCGCTCTCTCAGTCTCTCGCCCGCGCCATCCTGCCTGTTTTCTCTCCGACGTTCATCACTGCCAGCCTCTGGTATGAGGACCCTGCCTCTGCTCTCTCAGCGCCACCCCCTCTTAATCCTGGCCCAGCACCCCTTTCCGCCCCACCCCACATCTGTCCGGAGAGGAGGGAGGGAGAGGAGGGACCAGTCCCGCCACCTCCTCCCCCTGCCCTTTGCTCCAGCAGGAGAGGTGGGCAAATCCGGGGTGGGGAGCCATAGCCACGCAGCCCCGCGCTCTCCACCCCTCCGCACCCTGGCAGTCGCGCAAAGGACACGATCGGGGGCCCGGCTGTGCCCCCAACACCAAGCTGCTCCTCTGGGATTTGAGGCCAGGACGCGGAGGGTGGACGGGCGAGCCTCGTGTCACCAGGCTCAGGCTGGGGGCAGGTCGTAACGCCCATCATCTCAGACAGTCCTGCCCCACAGCCATGGACGGCTCACAGTCTTAATCCCATTTCACAGATGCAGACGCTGCAGCTCAGAGATTCCCCCAGGGTTATGCAGCTGCTTATTATTAGATTATTTGAGACTCAAAGCTAAAGCTCTGACTCCCCTACTCTGCCCAATGAAACTGCCATCATCCTCAGGGAATTATGATAACATCCTCCCCCTCTGCCAGGCATGGCAGTGTAGCCTGTCATCCCAGCACTCGGGAGGCTGAGGCAGTTTGTAATCTCTGTCACAGATGTTGATGATGACGATGATGACAATAATAATAATAAATCCCTAGGCTGGGCAGGGTGGTGGTTTGTTTGTTTTTGGTGTTTAAGACAGAGTCTCACTGTGTAGCCCAGGCTGGCCTTGAACCCTTACTGATCTTCCTGCTTCAGTCTCCTGAGTGCTGGGATGACAAGGGTGAGCCATCATGATTGGCTCCTGGCCCTTTTTATGTTTTATTTTGCTACAGGGATATACTAAATTGCCCAGCCTGGCTTTTCTTTTTTTATCTTTTTGAGAAAGGGTCTCGCTTTGCAGTTCAGGCTGGCCTTGAGCTCACTTTGTAGCCCAGGCTGGTCTCGAACTCACAACAATCCTCCTGCCTCAGCCTCCCGAGTGCTGGGATTACAGGCGTGCACCACCAGGTCTGGCTTTTGTTTTTTTGTTTTGTTTTGTTGTTTTGTTTTTCTTCTGATACCAGGAATCAAACTCATGACCTTGCGCTTGCCAGGCGGGCGCTTTGCCGCTGAGCTAAATCCCCAGCCCCCAGGCCTGGCTTTTGTGTTTTGTTTTGTTTTGTTTTGTTTTGTTTTGTCTTTTTGAGACAGGGTGTGGAAACATTTATTTTATTTATTTATGTTTGTTTGTTTTGTTTTTTGAGACAGGGTCTTGTTATATAGGTCAGGCTGACCTTGTGAGCTAATGGTTTTTTGGTACCTGGAATCGAACTCAGGACCTTGTGCTTGCCAGGCAGGCACTTGTGCCACTGAGCTATATTCCCGGCCCACCCAGGCTGGCGTGAACCTGTGATCTCCTGTGTCACCCTCCCAAGGAGCTGGGATTACCGGCGTGGGCCACAAAGGCCGGTTGCACAAGCCCTCTCGGCTTCTCTTCTTCTAAGCCTCTCTCTCAAGCTTTGGTGTCCCAGGTCACTGAGTGGGTACAGGAGGTGACAGCCAGGGAAGATCTTAGCCACCTCTACTTGTCACCTCCTGTACCCACTCAGTGACCTGGGACACCAAAGCTTGAGAGAAGAGGTGGCTAAGATCTTCCCTGGCTGCATAGGTGACTTCAGGTGATTCTGCCCTGGAACCTCAGCGAGGAGCATGGGAGAGAGAAGGGGAGAGGGCGGCAAATGCCGAGCAGAACCTCCCGATGTCAGGACTGCACCTTCTGGCCCATGGCTCGGATTTCTCTTTTACAGAGAGCGAAATGAAACCCTGAGAGCAAAGTGTTGTTCCCAAGGCCACAAACCAGTTAGCGGCAGAGCTGGAAACAACATCCCTGATCCTATGTGGAGAGAGACAGAGCCAGAGCCAGGGCCAGAGACAGAGCCAGAACCAGAGACAGAAGCCCAGCTTTTGGGAGACAGAGGCAAGAGAAGCGCTGCAAGTTTGGGGCCAGCCTGGGCTACAGAGTGAGACCCCATCTCCAAGAAACACCCAAAACAACAAAAAAGTGAGCTCAAGGACCACAGAAATTCAAGTCACACAAACACAAAGATACCATCATTTGTCTGGAGCTCAATTTTAAATGTTTTTCCAGCATTTAGGCTACAGGCCCAGAGAGTGAAGGAACAGGGAAAGGCAGCATTCCCTGCTCTGCCTTCCAGAGGGCAGGCGCATCTGCCCCCTGCAAGTGGAGCTCCCTGCACCCACGGCTGACGCAGGCAGCCCCTGTGAGGCCGAGCAAGTGACTGCACAGCAGAGGGCGCTGCAGAGCCACAGGCGTCGCCTTCGCTAATTCCTGGGTCCACACTGCCAGAGAACCCTGTGTCTTAGGTGGTCTTCTGAGGCCTCGGGTGCTCTGGGGTCCTAGAGCAATTTCTCTCTCTCTTTTTTTTTTTTTTTCCTAGAAACTCTAGAGACATCTGATAAGGCACTGGGGAAAGGGAAGGAAGAGAATGAGACGCTGAAAGTCAGACACGGTCGGCTTTGCTTGCCCCGGCGTCTTTCTGAGAATTGGCTCAGTGACCCATCAGCTTTAGTCAGTTTCTCCCTGCTGATTCTGTAGTGCCGAGTGAGAGAGGTCTCCTTGTCAGGAGGCTCTGCGGAACCATTCCACGCGGATGTATTAAGGCCCACTCCGTGCCACCAGAGTCCTTGGCCCTGGAGAATCCCAGGGGCAGAAAGCAAACACGGCCCTGCCCTCCTAAAGTTTACAGTGCAGGAGGGAGGCCAGCATTTAGTCAAATCACCTAGAGCTCAGAGAGAAGAAAAGGCCCAGGCAGGCAGCTCTCCCTGGTGGAGTGAGGAGAAAGCTCAGTCTGTACCTCTCTCTCTCTCTCTCTCTCTCTCTGTATCTATCTACCTTGTTGCTGTTGTTGGTTTTGGTCTTTTCTGAGACAGGGTCTGGCTATGCAGTTCAGGCTGGCCTTGAACCCACTTTGTAGCCCAGGCTGGCCTCGAACTCACAGCAATCCTCCTGCCTCAGCCTCCCGAGTTCTGGGATTACAGGTGCGCGCCACAACGCCTGGCTAGGAAGCTCAATCACAAGAGTAGGCAGGAATTTAACAAGCACAAGGAGGAGAAAAGGGAATCGCTTGTACAGGGCCATCCATGGGGGAAACTGCCACAGTGCTTATGGGGCTATGGGGAGAGACAAGCTGCAGTCAGAGGGAGGGAGCAGTCAGGTCACACAGGGCCCTTGTCTTGGTGACTTTTTCCTCATTGCTGAGACAAAATACTTGATGCCCAAATATTTTTTTTTTTTTGGTACCAGGAATCGAACTCAGGACCTTGTGCTTGCCAAGCAGGCACTTATGCCGCTGAGCTATATCCCCGGCCCTCTGATGCCCAAATATTAAGGAAGGAAAGGTTTATTTAGCTCAAAGTTTGTGGAGGTTTCAGTCCATATTCCAGTGGCTCCAAGGCAGGGTGGCACAGGGCAGAGGGCAACTGTTCATGGCTGCGGAAGATGGCAAAAACAACAAGAGCACAAGGGGGGAGCAGGGGCCAGCAGGCTCTTTCCCTCCCTTTCATTGTATGCAAACTACCCGCCCCAGGGCGGGTGTAGCACTCACATCCATAATTCCAACGCTGGACCATGGATCAGCCATAAACTCCAGAAGCCACCCTATGACTGCATGAGGCTTTGGGGGGGACATTCGGACATAGACCATAACAGCCCTACATGCTTCTTCTTCTTCTTTTTTTTTTTTTGGTTTGGTTTTTTTTTTCCAATACCAGGAATCGAACTCATGACCTTGCGCTTGCCAGGCAGGCGCTGTGCCACTGAGCTAAATCCCCAGCCCCCCTACATGCTTCTTTAAGGACTCTTGTCTTTAGCCTAGGAGCAATGAGAATGCTGAACAACTATAAGTGCAGGCTGTGAACAAATTTTCATTTTGAAAAGGTCCCTTGGGCTGCTGGCCTCAGTAGACCCTGGACTTTTCTTTTCTTTCTTTCTTTTTTTTTTTCATCTTTTTGCGACAGGGTCTTGTTATGCAGTTCAGGCTGACCGTGAGCTCACTTTGTAGCCCAGGCTGGTCTCACACTCGCGACGATCCTCCTGCCTCAGCCTCCTGAGTGCTGGGATTACAGGTGTGAGCCACCACACCTGGATTTTTCTTCCCTTCCATGTGCCTTCAAGTACAGAAGCTGCTAAATTCTTCTGGCTGATGCTCCTTATCCCTTGTAAATTTCATTGTCTCCCTTGGGAAGATTGCCATGGGTGCCTTTCTTTTTTTCTTTTGAGACAAGGTTGGTCTCGCTGTGCAGCTCAGGCTGGCCTTGAGCTCACTTTGTAGCCCAGGCTGGCCTTGAACTCACAACGATCCTCCTGCCTCAGCCTCCCAAGTGCTGGGATTACAGGCGTGCGCCATGACTCCAGTCTGCCATGGGTTCCTAACTGGTCTCCCTGTCACTCCTGTCTCTCCTCTTCCATGCCAGAAGCATCATCTTATTCGATCCTCACAACATCCCTGTCATATAAGCAAAGCGAAGTGGTTCTATGAATTGAGGTCATCCCGGCTTGTGAAAGTCAATTGTTAAAATTGCTCAATTTTATAAGGCAGTTTTTAAACATAGCCAGTATTAGGAATAAAATTATGTAAGTTTATAGGGCAGGGTATGTAGCTTAGTGATAGAGTGCTTGCCTAGCACATGCAAGGCCCCAGGTTTGGATCCTAGTGCTGCAAAAAATAAACGGCTGGGTGTGGTGGTGCATGCCTGTAACCCTAGCACTTGGGAGGCTGAAGCAGGAGTATTACTGGGAGTTTGAGGCCAGTTCCATAGGCCAGTATAAACTACAGAGCAAGACCCTGTCTCAAGAAAAGAAAAGGATACTACAAATGTATAAATTACATTAAAAACAAAGGCAATAAATTCTTGGAACTCATGATTTCCTAATAATTTCCCCTGTGCTCTTGGGATTATTTATGTCCACTGTACCTGCATGAATATCATTTTGTGTGTATGTGTGTGTTTTGAGGTAGGGTCTGCTACTTAGCCCAGGCTGACCTCCAACTTGCGCTGATCATCCTGTCTTAGCCTCTGGAGTGCTGCAGTTACAGGCGTGTGCCACCACACCTGGCTCATCTGCACGCTTAAATTACCACATCACGAATGGTATGTTTCAGCTCATCTCTTTCTAGCTCCCTGTCTAGTAAGATCAGGTTGACAGATTGAAATCAGCCCTTAGGCAAGTGCTACAAATCAGGGCATGATTTATTGCTTTGTGGATTACCTAGATGTAAGAAAGTGATGGAGAGTGTGCTAATTCAGGTTTAAACTTCTTGTGTTATGTCTGTATGTAGCTGCGTGAATAGCACAAAAATAAAGGATATATTCTTCCAGTATTTGATAACTGTTTTCGAATTCAGCGGAGAGGTTGATCCCATTGTTGACAATCCAGGTCGCCTTTTCCTTTTCACTGTCCTTTTCCGTTAACAGAGGAAAATATCAACAAAGAGCCTTGTCCTTTGGTTACTGTGACCAGTTTGTCTATACACGGAAGCGCTGGGCAAGGGCTGGGGATATAGGCCAGTGGCTGAGCTCAATCCTAGCAAGGGGAGGCCCTGGGTTGTTCCATTCCTAGCAACACGCGCGCGCGCGCGCACACACACACACACACACACACACACACACGCACGGAATTTAGCAAACATCAGTGAAACATTCTTTGAGAATCAGTGATATGGAATTTGCCATTGTGTTTTCATTATTATTTGTAAACTGGGCTCCACACATCCTTTGCATCAGCAAAATTCATGGTACACTTATGTAACATACACGCATACGTTCCCTTTCCTCGCCCAGAAAGCCGGTTGTTAGCACTCATCCGCACAGCACGGATTCTAGAACACAGTGCTCATCGCTGTCATTCCAGTGGACGCCGGGAGAGGATGCAGATTAACGAACTGTCTCGGCCAGGGTCATACATCGCAAGCAGCATGGGCGGGGCAAGAACTATAGATAATTGCCCAAATCAACGGCTGTCTCCTAGGACTAGCCCGGTCCCCGGGACCTGCCCTACTCCACCGCGGGGACAGCCCGGGCACGAGCACCCAGGAAGTAAAAAGCGAGGGGTCTCTAGGGCAGGAGACCAACGCTTCAGGTCCCAGCCAATAGCGGCCCGGGGCACGAGCTACGTCACGCGCAGGAGCGGCCGGCGCAAGCACGCCCCGAGAAGGGGGCGCGGACAGGACTCCCGGAAGTGGCGTCACCCGGGGGAGGTCCGCGGCGGCGGCGCGCGGCC